AACATCGACATAGCAGCCATTTGTGAGTCCCTGTTCCCAGACGAGGATCAAATCACAGAACGGGGGTTTGGCTATAACTTCTTCTGGAAGGGTAAGCCTGCTGCGCAGAGAAATCGCATTTATGGAGTTGGCTTTGCCATCCGCCAATGCATCCTAGACAGGCTAACTGAAATGCCTATTGGGATCAACGAACACCTCATGACGTTCCGATTCCCACTGAATCACTCACAACATGCCTTTTTCATCAGTGCATACACCCCAACACTGGATACAGAGGATGCCATCAAGGAGGCCCTTTACGCCGACCTTGATAAAGTGCTAACCTCTATTCCCAGAGAAGATAAGGTTGTGCTCCTTGGTGACTTCAATGCCAAAGTTGGTAGAGATACTGACATTTGGCAGGGGTCCATAGGGAGAAATAGACTAAGTAAGTGTAATCCCAACGGCCTACACCTCCTCAGCAAATGTGCTGCACACAACCTCACTTTCACCAATACCATGTTTAGGCAGGCCGAAAAGTGCAAGAGTTCCTGGCAACACCCACGATGCAAACACTGGCATCTTATTGACTACATCATTGTCAGAGAAAGAGATCGCCGAGATGTCCTCATCACCAGTGCCATGCGTGGCTCAGACCACTGTGACACTGATCATCGGCTCGTCAGAGCCAAGCTCTCACTTCACGTCGCCCCAAAATGGCGAAGGCAGCAAGCCTCTAGAAGAGGTTTTAACACTAAAAGTCTGGAGGATCCAGCGGTACCACATTATTTAGAGAGCAGCTCGAACGTGGGCTGATAAACAACCCGACAACGAACAACCCAAATCACAGTGCCGAATGGGGGTATTCTCAACACTGTCATGACAAAAGCCTGCAGAGAGACCTTCGGCCAGATCGAACGAACACACCACTGGTTCGATGAAAATGACCTGGCAATCAATGTACTCTTCAGTGATAAACGTGTTGCTTGAACTGATTGCCAGACCAACCCTCAGTCTCTGACCAAACCTGATACCTTCCGCGACAAGAAACCTGCGGCCTAACAGAAACTTCGCAATTTACAGAACGACTGGTTTAAAAATAGAGCATGTGAAACACAAAAATTTGCAGATCAGCACAAGATACGCGAATTTTTCAATTCCACCAAAACATTTTGTGGGCCTATCATTCGTGGCACAGCGCCCCCGCTCATCCGACGGTAACTCCATAATTTAAGGCAATGAAGGCCTCCTTCAGCACAAGAAAGAGAACTATCATTCAATGCTCAATACAAAACACTGATGTGGATGTCCTGACTATCCAGCAGGTCCCTCAGCATCCAGAGATGACCCACCTCAGCTATGCTCCATCCCTGGATGAGGTAGCTACTGCCATCAATTGGATGAAAAACAACAAAGCCTCAGGGCCTGATGAAATCCCAGCCGAGATGTATAAAGCAGGAGGACCTCTGCTTACCAGCCGTCTCCACTCTCTCCTGGAGAATATATGGGAAAAGGAGGAAATTCCACAAGCTCTTAAAGACGCCTCCATCATCAATATTTATAAGAACAAGGGAGACCGATCAGACTGTGGCAACTACCGCGGGATCTCGCTGCTGTCCGTAGCTGGCAAGATTATCGCCCGAGTCCTCCTAAACAGACTTCTTCCTGAGGCAGAAAACTTTCTACCAGAATCTCAATGTGGCTTTAGACCATCACGTGGTACCACTGACATGATCTTTGCCACCCGCCAGATACAGGAAAAGTGCAGAGAACAGTGCCGTGACCTGTACATGACATTCATCGACCTAACCAAATCTTTCGACTCGGTCAACAGAGGAGCCCTCTGGTGGACCCTCAGCCGTTTTGGCCGCCCCCCCCCCAAATTCATTTACCATGGTGAGGCAACTCCACGATGGCATGAACTGCAGTGTTCTGCACAATGGCACCCAGTCTGAGTTCTTCCCCATCCAAACGGGGGTTAAACAAGGGTGTGTTTTGGCACCAACTCTCTTTTCCATTTTCTTGCCTGCCTTCCTCACTCGTGCCAGTGCCAATTTAGCTGGTGGGGTGGACATCGAGTACCGGATGAAGGGTCTTTTCAACATAAGACCACTCCAGACAAGAACAAAGGTGTCAGCAGCTTCCATTACTGAACTTCAGCTTGCAGACGACCTCAATCTATGCAGATGCGTATGTGCATTTCGGCTTTGAGGTGAATTTACATAAGACTCAGATTCTCTTTCAACCTGCCCCTGGTTCAGACACATCTCCACCATCCATTCATCATAACGATACTACCCTCTCTAATGTTACCCACTTTCGGTATCTCGGCTCCCACCAGTTTAACTTCGCGGACATCGATGAAGAGATTCAGCATCGGATCAGATGTGCATTTCAAGCTATTGGCAAACTCCGAAGCCATGTCTTCAGCTGTGGGGAGCTGAAATTATCTGCAAAGTTACACGTATATCGAGCAGTGGTCCTCCCTACCCTGCTATATAGCAGTGAGGCATAGGTCACATACAGGAGGTACCTCATGGTACTTGAAAACTTTTACCAACGTAGTCTACGTTCCATCCTCCGAGTTCGCTGGGAAGACAAGAGAACAAATGTACTGGGTCACGTCCACTTGAGATGGTGATTTCAGTCATCTGCTCTCGAGTAAAAAAAAAATTGTATGTCTATCTGGGATGACATTTAAATATATCACTTGACATATAACGTTGCTCACGAGAATATATTCGGTATATAGTCTGTTGCCTTGGAGAATGACACTTAGAAAATTTCACTGTTACTTGGGTTACAGTGACGTCGGTTCTTGCACAGTTAGTTACACTGCTTCACTGGTTCAGTTAATGGTTCTATCTGTTCGCTGCCACCTTTATATATAAGTTTTGAGTAGAGCTCCCTTTTAACTTGGCTTATATATAAATAAGTTAAGGGGTTAAGTTACAAACCCAAAATGGTCTTTTCTCCATTTATTGATAAACTAAAAAGGTAACAGGCTATGAGTAAAAGCACCGTAATTAACACTGTAAGCTGTGAGTGTTAGTTAAGGACAGGGCTCAGCTTGACTGAGTTAAGTCACCCGTCTGATTCTTGTGAGGCTCAAGTGAAGACTGGCTGGTGTCCTGAGGGGAGGCTGGGCTGACCCTACATTTTCAAGGTCGGCCTACTGATAGAGGAATTTCCCCTCACGTGAACAGCACATGGCAACTCACAGCTTATGGAGAATTACCGTGGGGTGATTGTATTATATAAACTAAATGTATAAACCCAAATTTATATAATTGTTATTGCCATGAGACAAGGGCTAATTCAAATTAACATCATCGAGTTTTATCATGAATATTTTCCCTCATATTGTGTAAGATGTACTTAACCCTCTCCTCTGTAACCCTCCATATCTCGCGTCCCCTCACCTAGTTCATCCCAGCCTCAGCCCTTTCCTTACATATCTACCCGCAACATGGCCCTCGCCTCAACCCCTTGCATATCCGATACATTAACCTGAGCTCTCCTCCATCTATCACGTTCCAACCTCCTCCCTACCCTCACGCCGTTATATGTTCAACCCAGGCCTCTTCCCTCCCCTCCCGTCCCTTCTTTCACCTATCGGACAAACACCACCTCCCACCAACACACACACTTCATGAAACGAAATAACATGGGAAAAGAAAAAACAGAAATAATGGTTGCATACATAATTTACGGATGACATACTGTGTATATATATATAATTTTGTACGTGTAATTAATTTTGGTCAAGGATGGACGCAGGCTGTGAGCTGCCGCTCTATACTAGTATGTGTCTTCGTGTGTGTCCCCGCTTGTTTTGCCAAAACAAACCAGGGCAATACCAGCTAATATAAAGATAAAAAATAATGGAAAGTAATTAAATTCTCCAGTGAAAAAAGCCTTATGTTCCAAGAAAAATATAGAGGCTTCAGAATTACGAGTGACAGAAACAGGACGTCACTGACAGGCCTCTGATCAATGAGATTTGTCCGTTCCTGATGGGTAAGTATTTTCAGGGAAACTGGGGCCCCAGAAATTGTGTTGACGCCAATATGTAATTGACAGTTGCCGTTGGCACCCTGGAGGCCACTCTGGGCACACAAACACATGGCGGTATGGGAAGTGTCTTGTTATGTTGTGGGGGAGGAGGTTGAGCCGGGATATATATATATATATATATATATATATATATATATATATATATATATATATATATATATATATATATATATATATATATATATATATATATATATATATATATATATATATATCGGCATAGTGGTGGTTACATGGCGTACGATTCTGTAATCGGCTATTTAACCCAATGTTAAACAATTTTATTAATGTTGTATTTCTTCTAAGAGATATGGTAAGAAAATGAGAGACAAAGATACTTTAGAAAGAGATGCGGAAAAAATATAGGAAACATAACAGTGAAAACACTTAAAGAGGGCCTAGGTTAATAGGAGAAGTAGGTGAAGGAAGACAAAGTCCTCCCCAGCGTGTGACTCACACTATCAGGAACAACAGTTAAGCGTCTTCTAAAAACTACTTGTGGCTCCGAGTATCTCCCGTTCCCTCTCCACGCTCGCCGAGTTGTCATTATTTACAAGTTAAGGTGTGCATGCGTGGTAGTGCCTCTCCTTGGTGTTAGTTCTGGAAACGAACAACAAGGTATAACTTGTGTGTCTGTGAATCACCCAACTGTCTAGGAGGTTCATCAAGATGTAAACCCTTGTTCCTAACACACACGTATCAACACACTTGGCAACTATGCATGTTTGGTATCTCTGGTCTTTGTTGTATTGCGATTGAAGTTATATCATTGTATCATAAAGTAACATTTAAATATCTTGTAAGAACTTAGGTTTAGTATATCTTTAAGTCATAATTTACCTTGTCGTTAATTAATTTAATCAACACACGTAGTCACCTTGTTATATTATGACTTCACTGAACTGCGTCGGGGAGGCAGACTGGCACCTCGCTTATTACTTAAACAGCTGTTGTAGTGGCACTGACTCGCCTGCCAGTGTCGCAGTGCCGTCATTCTCGCTCTCTCTGTTACAGTGACCTATGTGCTTCTAGTTAACTGGCATCTTATTAGTGACATCTTCATCCAATTTAAGGACTCATTAGAAAGTTGTGAAGACAAGTGGTGGTGACGGTGTGAGTTTAGGGAGGGCAGCCTCGCTTGGTTGTGGGAGACAAAGATGCGTGTGTTGATGACAGTGTTGACCGTGGTGGGGAGCGTGGCCGGCACAGCTCAGCTGTGGGCCGTACAGTTGGCCAGTGAGGATGGGGAAGTAGCAAACCAGGTGGCTAGAGACTTGGGAATAGTGGTGGTTGGGAAAGTGTTCAATAATGTTTTCCTCATGCGCGGATCAAATGAGGAGAAAGGTGACTACGAGAGTGTGAAGGAGAGGGAACTAAAGAAGGAGTTAGATCATCACCTTATTGTTTGGTCCGAGCAACAAATCGGACGTCGACGAACCTCGGGCAGCGAGAGAACAAACACCGTGATACCTGGTGAAGGATATGTGAGCAGTGTGAGGCAAGTGGCAGGTGTAGCAGGAGTGAGGAAAAACCAACGACAGGTAAGGAACATTGGAGGTTTGAACCGGAAAATCCCTGCATTATCATGGGAATTCTCCAAGACCGACCCACTCAGGTGGCGGCAATGGTACCTGGGTCCAGGACCTGGGATGCAACTAAACGTGACGGGGCTGTGGGAGGCTGGTGTGCGGGGAGGTGGGATCAGCGTGGCCATCCTAGACGACGGTGTGGAGTTGACTCACCTCGATTTGGCTTTAAATTATGACCCCGCAGCATCGTGGGACCTGCTGGATTCTGACCCTGATCCATCACCCGTGCCTTGGTCACGCCACGGTACGCAGCTGGCTGGGATTATTGCTGCAACGCACTCCAATGGCATGTGCGGCATGGGCGTGGCGCCTTGGTCTGGGGTTGGTGCTGTGAGGATGTTAGGTTACGTAGTATGGGACGCTACGGAAGCTGCGGCACTAGCTTACGAACGTAACCACGTGGATGTGTATGTAGCGGCGTGGGGGCCCGTGGACACAGGGGCTGTATTAGAGGGTCCGGGGGTACTAGCTGCCAGAGCCATGAGAGAGAGCATTGCACTAGGTCGCAGGGGGCGGGGATCCATATACATATGGGCTTCCGGAAATGGCGGATTTGTTGGTGATGACTGCAATGCTGACGGTTATGCCAACTCTATCTATACACTAACTGTAAGTGGCAGCACACGTGGGGGTCACCCCCCTAGCTATGCAGAGACTTGCGCAGCCACTTTTGTTTCCACTTACAGCGGCGACGCCGACGAGTACGACTCCGAGGAAGAAGTTAACGGGGTGGTAACTACTGATACCGGTGGTGTTTGCACAGAATCATTTCGCGGGTCGTCTGTGTCGGCAGCAATGGTCGCTGGGGCGTGCGCGTTGGCCCTGGATGTTAACTCCAAGCTTGGGTGGCGTGATATGCAACACCTGATGGTGCGAGCAGCTACACCCCACAACCCCATTCCGACGCAGTGGAATACGAATGGCATCGGGCTACGCTATTCGCACTACTTCGGATTTGGTTCTCTCAACGCTGGGAAGATGGTTGATCTAGCGCGGAAGTGGAAACCTGTTCCTCCAGCTTTCCGGTGTTATGTGCAAGCACCATACCAAAACATTACATTGGTTCCTGACGAGCCCCTAGTTCTCTCTCTCAGTGTTTCCGGCTGCCAGATAGTACAAGCCGAGCATATCCAAGTTAATGCGTCAATCAGTGCCCAAAGCCGCGGGCAGATAGAGGTGTTGCTGGAGTCTCCCTCAGGCACGGTATCTTCTCTTTTACCTAAGCGTCCCCTAGATCTTTCCCCTTATGGCATCTACAACCACCCTCTAATGTCAGTTCACATGTGGGGGGAGGACCCACGGGGTACCTGGAAACTTCGCATCACTTACCACAACTCCAGTATAATTGGCCCATCCGGCAGCAAAACATTCGTCGATGTTCCTAACATGCTGCACAACTGGACGCTAATCATCCACGGCACAGAAATTACCCTGGACCGCGCTACGCCCTATCACTACTACTACACTTCCGAACAACTCACCCGTATAATCCGCCGCCAGAAAAGGACAGGAATTATGACTATTGGTACAAATAAAACTGATAATCCGAGACAACATCAAGAGGATCGTGTAAGAGTCGAAGTTCAGCACTGGTGCTCTCCCATTACCACTAGAGACAAGATACACTCTTACCTTTTCTGCCGTGTACGTGCTCCTGTCCCAGGTATTGTTAGCGGTATCACCTGGTACAGTGGAGACAGAGAAATCGTCCAAGATGTGGTTCGGCGCCTAAGTGGGAAGGGTTTTCTAGCTGCCAAATACCCGTCAATCCTGCTCATAAGGGAGACCAAGACTATTGACGGCAACTTTACTTGCAGAGTGATGTATGATAATGAGGTATTTATACAGAATTTAGAGGTCAGAGGTAATTATTCAACAGTCCCTGAGGTCACTGAAAAGACTCAAGTATCTGTGGAAGGCGGGAACGTGGAGCTGGCCTGCGACAGTCTCTCCCCAATCTTAAGAGGGACATGGACTCGAAACGGGGAACGGGTCAAACCCACTGAACGAGTAACAATTAACGAAGAAAGGCTGACCATCACTGGGGTTGAAAACCAAGACTTGGGTGTATATAAATGCCACGTAAAGTCCCCAAGATTCAACTACTCCCACAATGTCTCTGTCACTCTCTTGCTGGCTCAAGGACGGTCAACACTCATTACCCACTATGCCATCACTTCCCAACCTCCACTGCCGCCCTCTCTAGCATCTACAACTTCTTTGTGCACGTCACAGGAAAATGCAACAGATACTTCCCCAAATCCATTGACATCAGAATTATTTGGAGCAGGGCCAAGAGGCTGTCCTCGACCATTCAAGACATTGGTGGAAGGCCATTGTCTGTTGGTAGCACCCGGGGAGGCCAGGTCGTGGAACCGGGCGAGGGCTCAGTGCCAGCGAAGGGGAGGTGACCTACTGGTATTGCAAGACGCTGCCCTCATGCTGGCAATTATGCAACTCTTCCACTCTCAAGGTTAAGCCAGAGCGTTTAAGGGTGAGCCTTGAGGATGAATTTTATGAAAGGGTGTAAGGGAGTGTTCTGAATGGTTATTAAGAGCAATTGTTTGAGGCGAATAGTTCTATTAATGCTTAAGTATAGGGAAAAAATATATAAATGGATGAAAGTGTGGAAAGGTGTGTTACGTGAGTGATTATTGAGTATGTTGACAAATGGAGGGAAGTCCATAATTGATGATGTTACGGCTATTCATTAACTAACAAAATGTTCATTTCATTTCAGCTATATAATCCACAATGTTAAAGGTGAAACACTTGTATTGTTTTATATAACAAATAGTATTAAAAGTGTTAGCTTGACTGAAGAAAACGGACTTAGACACTCGGTAGTGGTCGTTGTGTTACGCTGATGTGTGATACGAGTCGTAAAATTAGTTGTAAATGAAATGTTGCCTTTCAAAGAAATTGAATATAAAGCATTCATGATTTACTGAAGCCCTTTCGTCACATGTTTTTCTTATGGGGTAATTTTTTTCGCATTGTTACTTTCCTCTCTTTGGAACTTTCTTCACTTTATTCACTACTTCGTAACCTTTCCCATTTCAGCGATTGATTAATTTTTTTTGTACCTATTCCTGATTTTAGTAACTGTGTTCATTGTGTACCCGATTTTGGTCAATTTCTCACATCTTTTCAGAATTTCCTTACGTTACCGCCAACATCTGATCACTCTAGACTATGATCACACACTCACTTCAGATTCGGCCATCACTGAAAATATCCCATCCCCTCGATCTAGTCTGAGCTTCACAGCTTCTAAATTTCTTCATATCGCTGCATCTACAACCCGCCACACTTTCTCTCTACCACTCCCCGAATCCTTCCATTCCGTCACTCTGCAGCTTCTAAACTTCGGTAAGATTTTTGTTTAGTAAACTTTAGCCTTGAATACATCATGAGGATTACAGGAGGAGAGGCATGGAAGGTAAAGCGGGAAGGAGGTAAACAAGAGAGAAAAAATCGAAATTTTTTTTACTTTATAATTTCAGCTTGTAAGTTTTGAGATCTTACATATTATTTTCTCTCAATTTTTATTTCATTAATTATTTTGAAAAAATGCATGTGAAGTTAGTGTGTTGAAGATGTTAATTTGTGACATTTACTGTCAGTGTATTAACTTAAACGCTTTTATCTAATGCCACCAAATTTCTAAAGAGGTTTACTTATGGTTATCATATAGAACGAGTTAAATTGATCCATGTTGAATAAGGGTCACAGCCACATGATCGTATGTCACTCGATCCTCCATGTCTCAAGAGCCTAAGGCTATGTCCCATGTGCAAGCATCCTACGGCATCGAGCGACCAGGGCGTAGACGCGTTACCTACTCCATAGCGATCTGTGTCCCACCTGCCGGCGTCTTGCCAGCGTAAACTTGCTGTCTATGCAACGCAGACGTTTGCTGGTACTTTTAGGAATGATGCTTTTCAACGTGACACCTGCAGAGGTACCCAGGAAAAAACATCACATATATCAGAGGAGGATAGAAGTAGGCGAATTTCACCACCTCGACAAGAAACTTCGCCAAGATCCAAAGAGATTTCACGAGTACACCAGAATGTATTCTGATTGGGGACGAGGCCTACCCACTCTCGATGCCGCAGGACACTCGCACATGGGACATAGCCTTATGGAGGGTTTCACCAATTACCATCCTTGTAGTTTATTTATTTCATTTATTCGTTCTTGTTATTTTGCATATACATTCCTTTTCTACCGAATGCTGAATCGTACTCATCAGTTTAATCTACAGTTTCTGGGCTCCCACGGTCATATAGTTAACTAACTTTTACTGTTATAAACCCTCCAGTCTCCCTACGCTTTGTCTTCCTTCGTAATTCAGTGTGAAAAATTTTCTAATTCCAAATTTCTTAATACCAGAGTCTATTATAAAGCGTCCATAATTTGTTGCGCACTTAAGCTTTTTCCAAGTGTAAACAAACTTTCATTTGAGTTTTCCTCTTCAGTTTCAATCCCAGACTTACATTTATGAGGCAATTTGATTCTTCTCGTTCCGTTCTAGATAATCCTCAAAACTTTTGTCTGGGTTTCGGGTTCTAATCTTTTAAAGTTTCCAAAAGCGAGTTTATAATTAAATTCAGTTTTAGTTTATTTTCCCATTTAGTTTTCTAGGATTTACCTTTTCCTTACTGTTTCTGCTCTCATCTTGTACTAAAGAAGCCTTATTAATTCTTTGTTTATAAATCAGTTTCAGACTTCAATTTAAAGTTCCTACATACCTATTGTTCTGTTTCCTTAATACATTATTCCCTTGCTTTCTTCAAAAGAAATACATTTACTTACAATTTCAAGTATTTACCTGCCCGTCCAAGGGCGTCGTCACGGAGGTTGCAGGAGAGGGGGGTGAGAGGTGAAGGGACTTACACCACTTCTTAATGGTACACCCCCGTTTTTAATCATATCTTTACATATGAATTTACAAGTAATGTAAGAGAGATTTGATATTTTGTATTCCAGTGCAAGATTATTCAGAAGCTGGTTCAGGGCAGCTGACTTCTGACATGTTGGAGGAGTTATCATTATAAGCTGGTGTGATGCGAACAACGAAACAACGTCACCGATTCTGGGTTTAAAAAAACCCGAAGAGACTTGTATATGTTGTCATCAAGTAGATCTTTTAGAGATTTGTGAAGACAGTTCCACAGTAGATGCAGTAACACAGATTGAAGTTAATGTCATGCTCAAACAAAGAAAAAATATATAATCATGGTTCTTCATCCACCTGATCGCCAGCTTCAACACAGAGAGTGTGATTTAGAAACTGGCTTAGGTCTGATTGAAGCCATGGTGGAATCTTTATATAAGAGAACAGAAGAACACATAAAACATGTTATTTCCATGGCTGAGTAGTACGACACTGCAGAAGACAAACCAGCGCGTCGCAGCCGGAAGCTGTAAAACTGCGCAGGATTCGGTAACATATTCTTCGGTTCCATCTGTATCATCACTTAACCCCAAAATATGAAAACAAATACCCTAAACTACACTATGCAGTCCTTGATATTTGCATTTCAGAACTAGACAGTCGAGTTTTTCAAAAGAACAGCAAAATTTAAAAATTTTGTAGAAGTTTTTGCCCAAAAATAAGTTTCATGCTATCATACACATTGACAGATTTACTCTACCTAGTGGTCGTAGACAATGATGCATTAGCAGAAGAGAGCACCGTTAGAAAAAATCCAGATGCATTTCCTAATGCCTATTGCTTATACCGTATGATTCCACTATGGCATGTGGTTCAAGTACAGTTGCGGACAAAAGTTCTCTCCTGCTCCCAGTCACAATGTGACTTCCAAACATCTGCGGTTCGAACAACGTAGTAGAAAGTAGTGACTCCTTGACCCAACAGATGTCGCACCTGAATGTTTTTAAGGGAGACGGGGAGGAAAGGGGGGGGGGGCGTTGAAATGAGAGTAAGGTTGGTTTGAGTGGACAATTACAAAGAAATCTCCGTTTACTGAAAACATAAAGTTGGTGATGTAGATGGTTTACAATAATAAAGCTAATAAATGTATCGACAAAAAAGTTGTATACACGACAAGGAACATATGCCACAGTTAATGGGTTTAAGGGCGTAATTAGAAACTAGACAGTGTTGTTCACCCAATGTTGGAGGATGAAGGCACCACCAACAAGAGGTGAGGTGACACCCAGACTACAAACCTGATATCCACATCAGTTGGAAGTAGCTCAGATTACGTAATGATTGTCACTGTTTACCAAAACAGCGGATATTGAAAACATTTAAGCAATTAAGTTATGCCCTGAATATATAATAGTTGGTGATAAAGGATCATGGACGTTGACTATACTGTATTTTGTGTAGGTCTGTTAATTTACAGCAATTAGACGTGGCTAAGTTGCTTCTTCCATGTATTTTAATGCACAGTGCTATGATTTACAAGTGCATGAATTATCCCCACGTCGAAATGAACTCTTTTAAACATGACAACGTGTCAGTCTGTCTGGGACCTTCTTCTCGTGTGAGGACAAGTGAGTGGTCAGTGTGGGTGGTGACTGGTGAGGTATGGGCAGAGGTGCGTGTGTGTGTGTGTGTGTGTGTGTGTAAGACAAAGAAAACAACGTATAGCGAGGTTGAAGCTACATAGAAGAGGGGGTTACTAGAAAGACAATACAGGTTATAAGAGAGAAAGTGAGAGTTAATGACACTCACCTGGTAGCAATTATATCCTCTGTTTTCTCGCCTCGCTGAATTTTTTTTATTGGGCACCCCCCTCCCCCCCTTACATCCTTGTGCAAGGTGAAGCGCAGAAGCGTTTACAGCGCCCAACAGGGCAGCATGCTAAGTTCATGCTTGCCTTATGTCTCATGAGTGAAGGGCATAGAAGCCTGAAGAATCAATGGTTTATGTCTAAGCAAGTTACTGGAAGCTCCAACAACTTGTCCCCGAATACGAATTCGCAACTTACGATTTACAGCAGGTACCTACAGTACTTTGCTGCTAGGTGAACAGGGACCAAGGGGACGAGGAAGTGTCCAAACAACTTCTGCCGGCCCGGGAATCGAACCCGTGACATCTTGCCTGCGAGGAAAGCTCTACCACCAGCGCCCCTACCTCGCTGTTTATAAAACCTTTCATAAGTGACAACATAATGTAAATACAGTATTAAGAGATGTGTTTAGAACTTCGGAAAAAATAGATTCTAACTAATACGCATATATTAATGCAGTATCACATTAAAGAAGTCCTTGTTGTAAACCGCTTACATTACTATCCGTTTGGGAACCTTCTCAAGTTCTAAACACCTCTGTAAATATTTACAGTCTTGTCACTTTTGAAGGATTTTACAAATGGCAGCAAGGCGTGCAGAGGATATATGCTACCAGGAGACGAATCATCGGGATGAGGAACAGTGGAGAACCGTAAAGAGAAATTGCCGATATGATAGATGTCCCCAACACGACCGTCAATAA